CTCTGCGCGCCTCCCCGCCCCCGGCGTCCTGGAGGCAGGGAGCCTCCCCACTGGCCAGATGTGGAAGGCGAGTTCGGTGACTTAGAAGGTCCGAGATGCCCCGAGATGGGAGCACTTCGCGCGGGAGACCCCTGGCTGTGCTCCAGCCCCAGTGACCCCAGAGCCTCCTTGGGTACCACCCGGCATCGGTGGGCGGGGGAGAGGCGCGCGCACCTGGCCAGCTCCTGGGCCGCCTCCCGCTGGCCCCGAGCCGGGAGGTTTGCCAACCTGTGCAGGGGGCTGGCTGGCGGTGCTGCTCCCAGCGCTCGGGGGTATTCAAGTGGAACCTTCAACCCCAATCGTTTCCCCAAGGGAGCGAGAGAAAGCCTGCCTCCTGCCTAGGATGGGTTTATCTCGCTTTCCCCACATAAGCCCCGAGGCCGGACTGATGCTAGGAGCAGCCTGGGTTCCGTTCGGTAGCTTTTGAGCACTTTCCGGGGGCCAGGCGCCCTGCGAGGCGATGGGCAGGGGGCACTGAAAGCCGAGTTAGACACAGACCATAGAAGGAGGTCACCGTCCGTCGGGCGAAAAGATGGGCACGGATGTGGGCGATGTCCGTATTGTGGACGGGACGGCTGCGCCTGTCCCCTGCCCAGTGCCCCAGCATAAACGCTGGGCTATATCCCCAGCCTTTCATCCAACCTGCGGGTCTCGGGCCCCTCCCTCCCTTTTCTTCCCTCGCGAATGGTCTTCCTCTCTTGGGCAAAACAAAACAAAATAAAACTTAGTTAATGCTCCTGTACGGCCTGCTACACATATTCATTTATAATCCCGAAACATTTGTTTTTTGTTCAGCTCCCCTTGGAGGAGGGGGCGAGGGGGTGAGGGGGCGGGTTCACTCTGCTTGCACCTAGGACGCTGTGTGAGCTGTGAGATCGCAGCCCTTTCACCACTGAGACGTCCTCCCGGGAGCCAAGCGCCGCCACCCTGGGAAAGCCCGTGTCCTCGCGCCCGATGCCCGCAGGCCAGAGAGGCCCAGCGTCTAAGGACTGCCTCCCTGGCCCCTGCTCCTGGCCCTGCGGCGGGATCCTTTCTGTGCCCGGGCCGCTCCTGGCTGAAAACACCTTGACCCAGACTCGCTCAACCTCGACTTTGAGTCACATTTTTCCTTTTCGAAAATTACACTTTAAAATGAATTTTCAGGAAAAAAAAAATACAAAGACGGTTATTTCTATTATCTCAAATTGACTATCAGTTACATTTTGGTATCGCTACTTCCAGCTATGTTTTTAAATCACTTGGTACAATACATGTACATTGTAAAAAATGAAAACTATGCAGGAAAATACAGAAGATAAAAGAAAATCAAATTTTTATCAGTCAGAAATAACTCTCATGAATATTAGATAAGTCCCAGACATCTTTGTAAACATGTATATGGCATAGAAATATATATGGATTATGAATATTATATAAATACCAGGCATTTTTAGACATATATATTATAGAAATATATCTACACATATATTATATATGTGTGTGTGTGTGTGTGTGTATGTATGTGTATATATATATGGATAAATGCAGGGTTAAAATAAATGTCTTAAAATATCAACACCTTATAGTTGCTATTTTTAAATCTAAGATATTTCCTTTTCTTTTAATAGAAGAAAAGAAAGCTAACATGAAGCTGAAGGAATTGTTAAAAGTTAAGTGTTTGGGGTTTTGTTTTTTTTTACTACATTTCCCTCAATAATTCTGGGAAGATTCGGAAGAGATGATGGACAAGAAGAGAGTGAGGTAATGGTGTTTTGTTTGGAGATCGCTCTATGTTAGAGAGCAGGCCACTCCCTGCTGGGACGTTAGCTCATCGCCTCCCACCTCTCCTCTCCGTAGGGCACCTCCTACAGCTGTTAGTTGTGTTATTGTGTTTCACTTGCCACCGTCCATTCTGTATCTGAAATGCCCACGCTTCCTTGGGATTGGCTCTGTAATTACAGAAGGTTATGCTCACAACCAGTCCTTCCCTTTCCTACATCTGCTTCCTTTATCTTCAAAATCCACTCATTCATTTATCACGCATGCACCAGGCACCTACAGGACGGGCCAGGTCCCTGCTTTGGAGAAGGTTCCATTTGAGTAAGAAGAAGCAGACAAATAAGCCAATTGGCAAAGGTGCTTTCAACAGTGACAACCGCTATTGAGAGGGTAAATCTGCATGGAGAGCTAGAGAGGGAGGGGGCAGGAGGGAAACCAACCCCAGACAATCTGACCAAGCAGCAGCCAGCCATGCAGACTGGAGAGCGTGTTCCAGGCCAAGGGAACGTCAAGGGCAGAGGCTCGGAGGAACATGGAAACAAGATCATCAATCATTTCACAAAGGCTTATTGAGTCAGACAGGCACACAGTGGCAGCCACGGCGTTCTACTCCTAGGCCAGGAGTCACGTGTCTTCAGCGGGCCATTCTATCCCCAGCTCAGTGAATTATGTAGAAGCCATGAGTGAATGAATGGACAGACATCCCGGACCTTGTGATAGCAGAAGAAGGGCCAGGTGCCAGGTGTAGGAGACGCGCAAAGGGAGCCATCTAATTGGCACAGGCCGAGAAGGCTCCCAGGGGAAGTGGAGTCTGAGCGGGACCTGAAAAGCGCTTGCAGTTCTCCAGTTTGACCGAGCGGAGAATGGGGCATTTGAGCCAAGGGAACAGCATGCATGCTTGTGGAGGCTGACAAACTATAAACAGTTCAGGGCCGAGGGAGTATAAATCACTGTTGGAAAAGCGGTGCAGGGTAGGCCAGATTCTGAGAGGCCTCTATTGCACGCCGAGGGATTTAGCCTGGGCCCTAAAGAAAGGAGGGGGCTTCTGAGGATTTGTGAGCAGGACCAAGATACAGGGGCTGTCTTACTTGGTAGAAAGATGGCATTGCTGTCAGGCACAGAACAGATTTCTGGGGGACATGATGAGAAACAAGGAGACCCATTAAGACAGTGATGGCGAACCTATGACACGCGAACTCATTTTTTTGGTTGATTTTTCTTCGTTAAATGGCATTTAAATATATAAAATAAATATCAAAAATATAAGTCTTCGTTTTACTATGGTTGCAAAGATCAAAAAATTTCTATATGTGACACGGCACCAGAGTTAAGTTAGGGTTTTTCAAAATGCTGACACGCCGAGCTCAAAAGGTTCGCCATCGCTGCATTAGGAGGTGGCAGCAAACATCCTGATAAGAACCAGTAAAGAGCCTGGACCCTAGAAGTTGCCTTGGGAACAGAGAGAAAGGTGAATGCAAAGGACATTTACAAAACCAACCCACATTGCCCAGCCGGTGTGGCTCAGTGGTTGAGTATTGACCTATGAACCAGGAGGTCATGGTTCAATTCCCAGTCAGGGCACATGCCCAGGTTGCAGGCTCAATCCCCAGTGTGAGGCATGCAGCAGGCAGCCGATCAATGATTCTCTCTCATCATTGATGTTTCTATCTCTCTCTCCCTTGCCCTTCCTCTCTGAAATAAATATATATATATTGAAAACACACACACACACACACACACACACACACACACACACACACGATAAGTCTACGGAACAGGGAGGAATCAAGGGTGAGGGCCAGGTTGCTGGTTTCAGCAGTTGGGGGTTGGTCCCGTCCATTTCCCTACAGTATTAAATATTTTTTATTAAATATGCCTTTAAATACTTAACAATGTACTCTGTGCCTATGGAGCCTAAGAGATGTAGCCGTTTCTCTCTCCCTGAGCACTTTGACTCTTTCCAGTCAGTCATTCTTCATCGTGCAGAAAACTGACATGGAAATCCTGGAGCAGGAGTCTCGGTGGGAACTGCGAAGGCGGACCTGGGAGGTCAAAGAGAATGAGGATTTTTGAAACTCTGCCTACTGACACGTTGTTCTTTGGGAAGGTTTTATCTGTGAGCCTGCACATGTCCTTGTAGTTCCAACCAAGATGTTCTTTGTCTTGGGAGACAAAGATGGGAGCACAGTTTAATGAGATAGAAAGAGAGAGAAGCATTTCAGTTTAATGAGATAGAAAGAGAGAGAGGAAAGAGGAGGAGAGAGAGAAAGAAAGAAAGAAAGAAAGAAAGAAAGAAAGAAAGAAAGAAAGAGAGAGAGAGAGAAAGAAAGAGAGAAAGGAAGAAAGAGAATCGCATCACATTTTTGTTTTAATTGCATGTTGAATTATTGCCAACAAAGACTACTCACATATGTGTTTATTGGCTCATTGCACTTTTTTAACGAACATATTTCACTCTGGCCCTATGCCCATTTTTCTAGGGAGGTGGGGTTTTTTTACTTTTTGGTATTTGTTCCCCAAATTAAGTCCCTTTTCTTATTTTCTTTCTTCCTTCCATCCTTCCTTCTTCTTTTGTCAAAAGCAGCTCACTATTTAAAAAACCAGCAAATATACCACCCACCAGAAATAGTCATTGTTAAGTCTTGGCTATATATCCTTCTGAATACTTACACACACACACACACACACACACACACACACACAGATTTT